ACCTGGAGTAGTCAAACCCAAAGTGACAGAAAGAATGAGGGTGGCTGGGGGGAAGGAAAATGGAGTTAGTTAGAGCTTACAAGGCATAGAGTCTCAGTTTGGAAAGGAGGAGGAATTCTGGAGATGGGGGGGGGTGGCAGCTGCACAAGGTGAATACGCTTATGCCAGTGAACTGCACACTTCAAAATGGTTAGAACGGTGAATTTTCGCAATGTATATTTTACCACAATAAAAACAAGAATTTCATACTACGCTTCAAAGTGTTTACACTTCATCCTGGACAGAGTTCATTATCATAAGGGAGAGCACTGATATATCTGTGCTAAGTAACTAGTGAGTGGAACAAGCGAGGACGGGAGTTCTTGAGATGCGGGAACGTAGGGGGAGAGTGGAAGGGAAAGGCAGGCATGGAGGGATGGAGGGATGGAGGGATGGAGGGAGAGGAACAGGACTATGTTCGGGATGGCAGGGTTCCCCCGCATCCAAGCAGCTAGCAGACCACAACGTTCCTGCTCAAACTTTCATCGAAACCGGCTCCAAGAGCGGCCCAGGCCCCGCGCGCCGGGCTCCGGTCTGGTCCCACCAGGATTTGCCCGGATTCAAAGCCAGCTCCGCCACCGAGCTCACCCGGTCGTGAGCGTTAAGCGTCAGAAGCAAAGCGCCGACCACAGGGCAATGGGCACAAGAGCTTGGGAACGGGCGCCCGAGATAGTTTTCACTCAAGAAACCCATCCGGCCTGTCCTAAGTCCCTTCCGTCCCCTGGCCAGAAACCTCACGATGAAGGTGGGAAAGGGCGCTCCTCCCGGGCACGCGCCCCTCGGTTCCCGAGCGCGCGCCGCCTACACTACCCAGCTCTGCAGGAGACGCGGGCTCGGAAGGTGGCGGCTGGGGAGCTGAGGTGGGCCCGTGAGCTCGCCGACTTACTCTTCCAGGAAGTCCAGGAACAGTTTCTGGCACTTCTCGGCCACTTCGTCACGAACCTCCAGGTGCTGGCTGCCGGCACCCGGCTCCGCGGCCGCCGCGAGGTCCATTACTACCCAGAATTGAAGGACCACCTCCCTCACGCTTGACCACCACAAGTCGCTCCTTTCCAGACGCAGCAGTTTTGCGCGCGCCGCTGCGGCTTCCGCCCCACCTCCTCTCCCAACCGGGACGGCGGGAGCCAATCGTTGAGCAGGAGCGCGGGGATTTCGCGCCAAACCTGCCCAATGAATGCCGGCTTCTCTCAGAACCCCTCCCACTAGGTGATTTCGCGCCAAATGCTAAGCCTGTCCGAAGGAGGCTAGAGTTCTGCCTTTGCGCCTGCGTGGTGTAACCGTGTCCTGGTAGCTGCTCAAAAACCTCAGATCCTTCTTCGGGTGATTTCTCTTTTTCTTTTTTTGAGGCAGAACTTCAGCCATCGCCCTGGGTAGAGTGTTGTGGCATCATAGCTCACAGCAACCTCCAAATGGGCTCAACTGATCCTCTTGGGTCAGTTTTCCTATTTTTAGTAGAGACGGAGTCTCGCTTTTGCTGAGGCTGGCCTTGAACTCCTGAGCTTAAGCAATCCACCTGCCTTGGCCTCCCAGAGTGCCAGGATTATGGGCGTGAGCTACCGGGCCGGCCTCCGGTGGTTTTTCAAACGTTTTTCAAGTCATTCTACTGATATTAATTGGGCGATAAGGGAGTAAGGCTTGATGGAAGAAAAAAATGAGTAAGTTTCAAACTTCCTGCTTTTGCTGTCTAGTTGGGGAAAACAAGCTGCAAATTATTGGATAAAATCCTGTAAAAGAGTCAAAGAGATGTGTAAACTGTGCCTGGGGGAGTTGGCAGAATTAATCTGGTGGTGTTGACCAAGGAAAGTTGGCCAAATATTTGATTAATCCCCTCCTAAAATGTACTCTTGGTTTGTGCACCAGGTGTTCTCACCCCCTCTTTGGCCATCTTTCCCTGACTTCATTTCACTTGGTATTTCTCCCATCTCTTTGGCCATTCCTGGTTAGCATCCTTTGTAGGCTCCTCTTCCATGACTCCCTTAAACCTCCAAGTTCCAGAGCTCTCTTCTCTGGAGTGTGGGGTTGATACCGGAAAAGTGGCCCCAGCCAGCTCAGCCTAGCGGGACTTGGGGACCTGCCACCTCTGTCTTGGTGGCAGCAGCCGCCAGAAGAACCAACCGGCAGGTTGGAGCAAGGGGATGGGAGCTTCCCTCCCCCACCAAAGGTTCCAGTAGAGCGGCGCTAGAGGA